AAACATTTGTATTTTCAGAACATAGAGCACAATAAATCAAGAGTGAAGTTTTTGTTTGATTCTGACTCTTGAAGGCATTTCAATAGCACCTGCAGGCTGGGCTGACATCTTGCCAATTGTTTTGCAATCTTGCTTGATTGAAGGCAAAGCAACAGATAAGTAAAAGAGAAACTGCAGACAAGTAACCCTGGGACTGCTTTTGTAAATAAACAAAGGATATCATTTTTAAAATATACACTTATATCTAATGTTTATATCATTCCTCAAAAAGGAGCTCTGGTTGGGCTCATGCTTGTTTCTGCTGAAATAGACTGTACACTTTATTACTAATAAATAAACAATTAGGATATTTTCCCCTTAGTTATTAAAATCAAGTATACTGAATTATACAACATGTATATGTTTAGATGTACATGTACACCTGTGTGTTAGAACAGTTATTCCTACCCTCCTTTCTATTTCATAAGCTAATTTACTCTGAAGAATTTTGTTTGACTGTTTCCAAAATAACTCATATTCTCCCTCATATAATCTTTTCTTCTAAACTTGCTGTTCCAGCAAGGAGCATTGGACAGACAGATGCTCCTTCTTTCAAGGAGCTCTGTTGAATTCCAGTCCCCTATTTTTGAAATCATGGGGCCTACAAAACTACAGTCTAGGGTCATATTTTGCGCGACAAATTACATTTCATGGCTTGAGGCCAGAGCTTTATAACACATTTGTAAGGAAAAACCCCAGAAATCAATGTTTAAAAAGTAGCTTAGTAGTGACCGAGCTGCAGAACTGAAGATGGGACACAGCTCTGTAACACCACCATCCCTCTACAGAACTCCGCAAACACAACACATAAATGAAAGGTTCTGCCCACAAGACTTCTCCACCACTTTTCAGCTTGACAGACCTTACAGTGTTTGAAAAGAGGGATGTTTGGAGGTCTCTACCTCATGTAAAATACCTTGTTTGACTCTTCAATCCTGCAAAATAAATGTGAATTTACCTTAATTCCTTGGAGAGTATCACTGAAGTTAATAGGACTACAAACACAAAGTAGAAATCCTAAAAGACTGGTGGCCTGCATGGGATGGGAAAGTAACCTGCCTTGAAGGAACCCACACTTGTGGGAATCCTAAATGTCCCAGTGGGGGTCACATGGTAACAGATGTCATTGCTAACATTTTCCGTGCTTTTTAATGTACAGATTCTGTCTTTAAAGATTCTGTCCTGCAGATATCCTGCATCCACTAACAAAGTCATTCCTATCATGAAGGACCAGTCATCTGAGAGTGACACACATGGATGGCACACCATGACAGCCAGGTACAAAACCAGGTGCACAAACAAACTAAACATATGCATCTAGGGGAGAGCGGTATTATGGATCACAATAGATCAAGCTCTATAGTTTCTATAAGTATTTACCTTAGCCACTACTGACTGGTGGTGAGCCAGCCATTGGCATGCAAAGAACAGTTCTAACACTGAATTTTTCAGTGTAGATGTTGTAGAAGCTCTTTGGGGCCACAAAAAGCAAAGAGTGTTTAACCAAGATCCTCATAACAAGCTCACTTGACAGACTCATTTAAGGCTTCAGCCTTTCATTCCAAACCCCTCCAGCTGTCACAACTGTCACATCAGCAGCAAGCTAATGTTTATTGTGTCCTGGGTAATAAATCAGGCCCTAAAAGGAGAATTCTTGCATTTTCTATTCATTATCTCTTGGCCAGAGGGAAGGAATTAGCTAAGGAATCAGCTTTTTATGTGGGTGTTTTTATTAGCAACTCAGATGCAACACTAGCCACCTGCAAAAAGGGTGTTAAAGGTGTTCACCCTAACTACATGGTCCAAATAATCTGATCTCCCATTGCTTAACACCTCTGGGATGAAGGAAATCTTACATCCTATTTTTTAAAACTAACTGTTCTCTCATTGTAGGGACATAGACACGCACATGAATATTAATTAGGTCTCAGTTCAACTAGAGTATGTCTTAGTTTTACATCCTATATGTACATACATGCTGCCTTTTGCAGTGAAGAGAGATAATATATATTTCTTTATGTTTAATCTTGTAGGTTAAAGAACCAGAACTTATCAAAATGCACTTGCATTTGTAGATTTCCTTCATCCAAAGGCCTCTTCCACAGAAAAAATTTCAAGGACACGTAGATTTATGGATCAAAAAATTGTCCTCTCAGTATATAATTAGCAGGGGAAATTGAGGTCACTGAGCAGCATAAGAAATGGCCAGTATACAGTTCTGAAATGATATGATAGCTCTTCTTTTCTCTTATTATCTTCCAACAACAGCTTTACAGAGCACAACTGAATTTACTTCTGTGCTGATCCATTTACTGTCCTAATTTTAATATTTAAGGCTTTACTTCTCTAATCACAGCTCCTGTTCACTGCTGATTTAAATACACCAGAAAGTAAAATAAAGTGTGCAACATTCCACTGGCATGTGCCCCAATCTGCTGGTCTCCAAAAGACAAAGCAAGAAGACCTTTATATTCCTCAGAGATATCACTTCAAAAATGAAATATAGCTTAAGATGAGGTGCACAGAAATAAGGCTTTTTTTTTTTTTTAATAGCAAGCAAAGTTTTCAGTTAAACACTTTAAGTTCACAAGCAAGCATAAAACAAGTAAAAAGGCAATGCCTCCCTTCAGAACTGAACACTGACACACTTGGTGCAATTTTACTCTGAAAGGAACTGAACACGTGGTTTCAGGCACATTTGAAACTTGACAAGGTATTTGTCATTTCAGCTGCTATCAGCATACAGAAACGTGGCTAACTTTCATTTTAACTAAATCCACTGTTCTGTATTTCAAAAGGCACTTCTGGTTTAAGAGAGAAGCCAAGTGGGTTCCATTGTGACCCCGAGATTAACTCAGTTGGCCAGAGCATGGTGCTAATGACACCAGGGTTGTGGGTCCAGTCCCCCTATGGGCCATTCACTTGTTGGATCCTTGTGAATCCCTTCCAACTCAAGAGTATTCTGTGCTTTGGAAACTGTGATTTCAATGCTGTGCTCTCCAGGTCACTTGCTCCACTACATGTAACAAAGTGATGTCACTATCCATCTTAACATGGTATCAGATATCCACTGACACCTGAGCAGCTACTACACATGGCTCATAAGAACTCATTTTACACACCTTCATAACCTGCCACTTCCCTGCCAGAAAGGAGGATAGACACTCACGTTTTCTAAAAATATCTCCAATGTAAGCTGGAAAGCAGAGATTATGTTACAGGGCTTCTTTCAAGGTCACTTGCAAGATCTATGCTTGCCATGGCTTTAGTGTGCTGCATTTCAGTTTTGTCATTGACAGCATTCGTGATTTGCAGAAAATCATCAGCAACCATGCATGCCTGTCAGCTCCAAATAGTAATAAATTACATTCCCAGAAAAATGCATCACATTCTTTTTCTCACCTCTGATCAGCATTCTGAAGTGAAGGAAAACAGTCATTGCAATAGAAATTACTTCTTTGTTCACAGAGTGCTTTGTCAAATACAATGCACTCCACCTCTCCTCTCAGGCCTTATATCTGAATGCTAGTTGCTTCCATTTTAAAATTCAAGGAATAGTATACACTAGCTGCAGTTTTTTTCTCTGAGGGGGATGAAGAAAATCAATGAATGCACATTCTTGAAGGAGACACAAAAACATAGGGACAAGCAAAATACAAACCCTCCACATTACCAAGAAATTACCTTTATTAATTTTATATAATAGAATCATGCACAGCACTTACCAAAGGTTACAGCTACATGCTGATTTACTTTACTCATCTGCTGAAGAAATCCCACGATTTACTGCTGCAGACTTGACTCAGTTTATTCTTGAGCCAGCCAGTCACTGTGATCTGCATCCCTCTGCATTCTTATATAGCAGATAATGTTAGCTGTAACCAGCTATAATTAAATGTCTTTATCTTGCGAGAGAGTGGTGTGCAAAGAATTTAAATTAAAACAGAGATTCATCTTCTTAATTCTTTATATCATTGCAGCCTCTGACCAGCAACATATCCCCCTGTTGTAAAACTGTACTCATATTGGCATACTGCCTGTAAGGAGGTTGTAGCAAGGTGGGGTTGGTCTCTTCTCCAAGGTAACAAGCGACAAGGTAATGTAAGAGGAAATGGCCTGAAGTTGTGCCAGGGGAGGTTTAGAGTAGGTATGAGGAAAATCTTCTTCACCAAAATGGTTGTCAAGCTTTCGAACAGGCGGCCCAGGGAACCGGGCACTCCTGGAGGTATTTAAAAGATGTGTGGATGTGGCTTTTAGGGTTTAATGGTGGACTTAGCAGTGCTGGGTTAATGCTTGGACTCAATGTTTAAGAGTCTTTTCCAACCTAAGCAATTCTATGACTATGTGAGCACAGAGTCTAAGGACATAACGCTGCAACAGTCCCTGGGCAGTAGCTACCACCTCTACACTGTATCAAATATATTTGCTGTATTATATACACACTGCACATATATTAAATATAGAATGCCCAAAGTATCAGAAAGGTCCCCGAAACACTGCGGCAATTCCTCCATATTCTTCATCAAATCACTTATGTTACAGAATGTGTTATGTAATGTTAACTGCAGCTTTATGAAAAGCTTGTCATCTCTTGTGATTACAATACTTGCTTTTTCTGAAAGATCAGAACTTGGAAAGCAATGGAAAATGTGACATTTTATTTCCTTTACCATCCTGGTTTATTACCAGGCTTAGATTCTCTAGCTTCATGGGGGCTGAACAAGCTTCTCCAATTTCATAGTAGAAAACAGCAACTCCCATTCTAGCTGGTAGCATCTACTTTTTATTTTACGTGAGACTGAACTATTCAAAACAGCACATCCACTGTGTCATAAAACTTCATAATAAATTTCACTGTCTATAAAATGCTGATTAGTCATGCAGCAGTCTGTAATAAAATCCCATAAATCCCACAAAGCTGCATCCTGCTGATTTACAAGGCACTTACAGAGAAAAAATAGCCCAATACACAACTTCATGCTTTATTGTTGCATTATTGCCACATTGACAATTACAGAAAATTTCTTTTGCAGTTATTTCAAGGTAACATCTGAACATCTCCTGTCCTTATATGCTATTGTAACATATTTAAAAAGCATCAATAACCATCCGTAAGAAATCCAGTTCACCAGTTATGATTATTTTGGACAAGGTAATGCTTGGGTAAGGACACCTATGTATAAACACAGATACCTCCCAACAATATATAATATGCTTTCATGTAGAGACATTTTCTAATCATGTATGATTTTCAGCATTCTAAAAGCTATCTTAAGAGACATAGTTCATTGTACAAACACATCTATCTAAGTAATCAAAGACAAAACTCAGGTATTATCTATATATGCTGTATATATTGCATTAACAACCAGGAGCAGTAGTTTGTAATTTGAAAGCATCCATCCTCCTAACTTTTACTGTCAGAAAGGATGTGGTATAGCTTTCAGAACCATTTCTACCTATTACAAGACATGGAGCCGAGGTACCCAGCCCCACCTCATCATGTGCCTCCACACTGAGGTTTAGTTTTCCAATGCTGTCAATGGAGCCAAGAGTGATTGAGCTCAACCTGAAAGAGCCTTCCCTTTGGTCAATGATGCCATACCTAAACTCTACTGACTGTCCTGACTGCAACACCACCGACCTCCTTCAGATGCAGGCACAGCACGAGGCAGAGATGAATCCCACCCAGCTCCCCCTCAGGCCAGCAGGTACCAGAACTGACTGCGATGATTGCTGACGCAGCACATGGACGGCTACGGTGCACCATCAACCACCTCCTGTCCTTAGTCTGCAAACATTCCTGCCAGCAAATCATCTTCTGCAGAGGTTCCAAGAGGCTCAACAATGAATGAGTTGCTCAGGTGTGAATCCCTTGTACACTCATAAGAAACAACAAACAAGGCCTCTGCTACATCGACATCAGAAACAGAAAGCAGATTTGAAAAGTTACACATATTCTAATACAGAATAATTCTTATAAACATTCTTTCCTTAAGGCAAGTATAGTTTCTAATCAAATTGAAAGTAAGGACTGCATATATAGATTGTACATCTTTCCTTGGGTTTCAAATAAATATGTCCATGCAAATAATTTGCAAAACATCATTTCCATTTCAAGCCTATAAAGAGATGGAAATGTCAGGTCCCTCACACCCACATGAAGTGAGTTATTCCACTTGTGAAATGGGCCATATTTTCCAGTATTTTGTTGCAGTTGTTTTAAATCAGCTACTCGGGAAATAATTATTAAATCTGCAGAATTTTAAAAAAATAATAATTTTTAAATTTTCCTTACTGTTTTTTATCCAAAAATAAACTAGTAAAGCCCCAAGTAATGCTAAACTTTCACTTATTTGCCAGGTGAATGGTTGCAGCTTTATCTCTCACGTTTTTGACATCATTAAAACTTTATAAGCCTGGAGGCTTTTAAAGGCTGCATTGTATTTGTAGTCAGTTAAAAACAGAAGAACACATTAAAACAGGTAGAATGTTCAAAATTTTTTTCCAGGTTTTTACAGAGGTGAGTTATGGAAGGAAAATTATAGAGCTAAGTTATTCTGAACTGAGAAACCAAATTATTTAATTATGTGGTAAAAATAAAACAATTGCTCTATTTGGAAATAATTTTCCTTTCACTTCCTCATATCACTACTGTCATTCAGAATAAGAAGACTAGGAAAAAATACGATGCGCAAAAGAGGTTGGATCATAAACATATTTATTTGTGGTATCTCAACTTCAAAAGGTGATCTCAAATTCTAAATTTAAGAAAGTAAACAAATTTTTCATCAACTTATTTTAAGTTCAATATGAAGATTCACAAATTCCTTCAGCTTGGTATTGGAATGTGAAATCATCACCTCAAAAATACAGCCCCCAGTGAGACTCATGAGATTGCAAATGGGTTGTCTACAGAAGCAGTGTTCTTGTATTTCTGATTTCTCTCTCCTCTCCATACTCACAGATCACCAGAGGGAAAAATCTCAGCAAGACTGTGAGAGTGCAAGGGGGTATAAAGAAGATTCAGCTGGATCTCTGCTCACTTGAGAATGTATGGGAGCCCCTTCATCATCTCCCTGGTTGAATCCAGAGGGCACTGGGGTGTAACACTGTAGGATACTGAAGGCTGTAAGGGTTCTACATAATCAAGACACTAACTACATAATCATAATCAGACATAACTACATAATCAACCAATAACTTCTGTCTCAACACACCCAACAAACTCCCTCCAGACAGTGAGGGGCTCTTCTTTCTTACTGGCTTAGCATAAAAGCTACATTAACTATCTGCTATTGTGAGTCCACAACTAAAAGTACAATTTTTAAGCTCATTAATCATATTACTCATACTGAAGTTTTTATCTTGACAGTAAGAAAATCTTATAAAAAAGCACCCCTGATCAGCAAATACTCAATACAGAATTTTCCATCTAGGATAGCAACTGAACGTCTTCATTTTTATTAACCCTTGAGAATTAAAGTAAAAGAAACAGCATATTATTTTAGATGTCAATTTTACAGATTTGACAGTGTGAATCCTAAAGGATTTTTGTCTTCTCTTGAAAACTTATTCACGGAGAGCAGTTTGGCAGAGATCCTGATGGGGAGCTCATTTGCGAGGCTGGTGGATGTGCTGTTTGACATGCTGTGGGTGTGGAAGCTTTTCCACTGAAGGATGTGGTTTCTGATGAGCCACCTGAGCTGCAGCTGGAGGGAAGTCCTTATCACCCTGTTTGGAGAACACAGCAGGAAAAGTTTCAGGAATCTTAAAAGTGTACTTGCCAGTTCTAATTGATGTAAATTCTAAAAAACATGAAAATCAGATGGAAAACAGTGTTGCATGCTACTTTGGAGTCCCCCTGTACACATTCTATGTTTTTATTCTTTTAGCCAACTTCAAAATTTTTCTTATGCAAGCTTCACTTCTTCCAGTTACACACACTATCCAATAATAAAGAATCTTAATGTGACCATAGGGGAAAAAACCCAAAATATTCCTATCTTCAGATGTGTTTGTTTTTCAACAAGCCACTAGAAAGAACAGACTATTTTAAAAGTAAGTTAAGGCAGCATGAAGAATACCTGAACAAAAAGCCTACTGTAGGAATCAGAATTGTAGAATGGCCTGATTTGGAAGGAACCTTAATGATCATCCAGTTCCAACATCTATACCGTGGGCAGGGATGTCTTCCACTAGACCAGATCACTCAGGACTCCATCCAACCTGGCTTTGAACAATTCCAGGGATGGGGCATCCACAACTTCTCTGGGCAACCTGTTCCAGTGCCTCACTACCTTCACAGTAAAGAATCTTTCTTAACATCTGATCTAAACTTACTCTTTCAGTTTGAATCCACTCTCCCTCATCCTGTCATTCCATGCTTTTGTAATTCGACTCTCTCAGTCTTTTTTGTAGGCTCCCTTCAGGCAATGGAGAGCTGCAGCTAAGTCACCCCAAAGCCTTCTCTTTTCCAGACTGAACAATGCCAGTTCTTTAGGAAGAAAGCAGGATCTAAAACTACTTATGATTCAAATTTTAGGGATGGCTGGATTTTAACTTTAAAATGCTCTTTTAACTAGATCTGCTAGTGTTAGCTCTCAGGTGCTGCTGTTGGGCAGTCTCAGTCCAGGAGTTACATATATGTCACCTATTTACCATTGCCATTTCTAGGGTCAGTGCCAGGAGGCTTTCAAAAAGCAAGAGGAAACAAATACTATCAGTACTCAGTGGCAGGGGGACAACAGCACTAAAACTTCCCCCTTCAGAAAGTGGGACAAACACATCATAGTCCAGAAACTCCCGCTATTCCAGATTCCACTAGCTCATAGGGCAACAACCTTACACTATTTTGTTTTGGTTTTGTTTTAATCACTGTGTTAACTTGTTACATTTTGTATTTTTTTCTCTACTACAACTCCCTATCAATTTTCAACGATCTGCTCTCCTCAGACTGGATCAACATTTTCTACCTTCTCTCCCCTAATATTGCCAACTGCCCATTCCTTATGGGCTAAGGAAAATGGCATCAGCTCATTCTTTCCACCTATGGCATCTGACACAACCACAGCATCTTACAGTAAACCACACTACAAACCCCAGTGATGTAAGGTAACCACATAAAGCCATGATAAAACCCCTGCCACAATGAATGAGTTACTGATTACATGATTAATGGCTAGTTAATACTAAGGATTTACAGGTCCTGCCTGCTCTTAAAGTCCAGGGAATAACACCCTCAATCTCAAGTACCTTAAGGCACATATGGCAGCTGAAATGCACTATCTTCAAGCATGTATCCTTACAGGCAGGAGGGTTGCTCATCACAGACTGAACTACAGCAGCAGTTTAATATGCAGCCACTTCCAAAGGAAATGAATACAGTAATATCTAGCTTAGATATAAAAAGATGAGCCGATAAACTTGAAGTGCTAAAATTCAAAGAAAAATGGTGAAAATTATTTCAATGAATAATTTCTGTTTCACACAAACCCAGAAAGAATGGTCGAAGGGCCTTACACAAATATAGAAAATACAAAGCGTCTTCTTACAAAAGAGAAAGGGGTATGAAAAATATTGATTTTGTTCCGATTGGTGGTAATTCTGAAAAGCTTACAGTAGTTTTGCTCATTGAGAGAAATTTATTGATAATCTTACCCTAGCAATGACACCGGAGATGAATACCGCTGGCTTAGGTGGGCTGAAAAAAATCAGAGGGATTATTTGTACCAATTATTTAGAAGGCAAAAATGAAAAGGAAATCACACATACAGTGCAAAAAAAAGGAGGCATTTTTGGAATCTGATTAATGTTTCAAATAGACAAGATAAACTTCCTCTTCAAATGACTATTGCCTTAATAGTACTTATTGCAGGTAAAACCACACCTGTAAGTTCTGGGTTGTATTACTTCACATTGATTGTGACGGCAGAAAGAGGCTAGTCCAATAATACTACTGCTTCTTAAAGCCAAGTCTTTGTTTGCACATTGGTTTCTTAATCCTCAAATTTTATACATAAACTGCCAGCAGTACTTTAGGCTTAGCGTATTTTTATTGCACAATGAAAACTGTAGCTGGACTAAAGTCACTGCTGTGTTAGAGAATAAAATAAATTTCAAGTTTACATCTGTCAGTCAATTGCATAAGGATTCAGAGTCACAGAAAGAGTAACATTCTGTACTTTAAATCATAGACTTTCAAGCAGGTAGTCTATTACAAGAAAAAGGAACATGTCTGCAATCAAACAAATATTAAAAAACATAAAGCAAAGCCTTTCCTGGTTTCTCATTTGCAGACTCTCCATACAAACCAACAGGAATAGACCCTCCACAGCCAGAGTTCTCTGAAGCTTGGTCAGCACAAGCCATCAGTTTCCGTGGGTCATGGATCTCCTGAACTGACCACCTGGAGGCCACAGCACAGCCACATTCAACTGCTCACCCTGCTGGCATTGCCAGTGTCTAAATTACAGACACTCAGCAACCTCAGTGCTTCCATGGCAAGTAAAACTACTTGGCATCCGCAGAAGGGTTGAGACCTGGAGCTCCTGAAAATCTCCACAACAGAGGTAATTCTCCTGTAAGAAAACCACGTAACCTGAGGCACTACAAAGGGAAGCAGAGTGGGGAGGTGAAGGTGTCCCTCCCCCTGAGAACATCTGTAACTGAGGACTCAGAGCAGCTGGTTCATTAACCTGGATCAGAAGAAGGGTTCTACCCTGAGATGTTACAGCTCACAAGGCTGGAACAACACAAAACACACACATTTCAAATCACTTATTAGAGGAATGATAGTGATTACTATGGTGCACTTTACAACTACATAGCTTGTAAAAATTTATTACCATGATGTTTTGTGAAGTTAAGATAACAAGTAGCACAGTAGTAGACTTAATATAATGAACTCATAAATATTGCCTGAGCCCTGCTTAAGTCACGGTATTGCTACTCAGTCTCTGAACAGCTTGGTTATTTAACAATAGCTCAGCATTTCTTCTAGAAAGTTTTAAAAAGTCAGAAAGACAAAGTTAGAAAAAAATGAGAAAGGAAGAGAGTTCTGCTCTAAAATACTTCCATGGAAGAGTAACAGTGGTATTTCCTGCAATAGGTAATAACTGATAGCTGTATTAGACCTTTTCAATCCAATTTTCTGTCAGTACAAACTAAGAACAAGCAAAGACCAATAGCAAAACACTTCCATTTCATTCTAATTGTACTGAGCAAATTAGTATGTTACAGTCTGCATGAGACTTACTGGATGATGAGTAACAAACTCAAAGAAATAACTCTTGAGAAAATACAGATGTACTGCAGTGGCTCAAGCTATGACTCACACACTTACACCATGACATTATAAAGGAAATGAACAGTAAATAGGAAAAAAAAAAAAGTATGGCAATTTATTCTTCAACTATACATGGAATCTGGCTTTAGTCACACTCAGAAAAACTGTTTTTTGCTTGACATTGTATTATTACCAATACTGGATAGTGAAAAAGTCAAATCAGATGAATTTTTAAAAAAATATTCTTAACATGACCTTTGAATGTTCATTATGCTTGGATGATCCATGAAATTCAAATCAACATTTCCACAACAAAGACTCTATTTGCTGAATGCACCATGAGCTGTTCACCAACTACTACACTGTATTACCTGCTGTATGGTTCATAATTCTTGCTTTAAAAACAACTGCAATGCTCCATGGCTTTGGCCAAAAATGACAACCAGAAGGAATCTCTTGCATAACAGTTATTCTGAACACATCTTGTACCACTGCAAATTGCAAAAATCTTCTCCGAAACCCCAGTCTCCTGTTGAAATGTCCTGCTATATATTATTATTATTCAAAGCACCCAAACTTGCAAGTGTTAAGTCTCACAAGTACATGATAGAGCTGGATAGAGTTAGAATTTTTGGTAGATTTCCATACTTATTTTAATTTATTTTTTTAAATTTTTTATTATTTTATTTAATTGTACATTCTTTTGTCTTAGGAATTAGACTGAAGATTGTGTAAAGATCATCGTCATCTTCAGGTAAGCTAAAATCCAGTCTGAGGTTTATGCTTCAGGTAGCATTTCAGAAGCAGCTAGCACATCTTTATAAAGAAGACAAAAGTCAGCAGTGTAGGAATCCAAAAATGGAGAGACGTTTCTCTGTTTGTCCTATTCTCCAAAAAAGTATTAATCCTATTTGCCACTGACAGAAAGGCTTCCAAATATCCTGGGTAAACCTGGATTTATAAAAAAAAATAAGTAGAAGGAAATAGAATGTTTAGTATGCCACTGAGGTGAAAAATATAGATTTTAGAGGGTTTAATACATGGAATAAAGATGGAGGAAAAAAGGCATAGCTTTTAGCTCTTCTTCCTTCTTCTCCATGATTCTGCAGTTTTTAAAAGCACAAAGAGTGATTGGTTGAAAGTTAGTTGCAGTTTTAGTTACTTAAGTAGATATAGAAAACTTATTTGTTAAAATATAAAAACAATACATGTGTTTGTAGCTAATAGGGTAAAAATAGATATAAAGATGAGGCAGCCGTGTGGTTCGGGGCCATTTTGTACCATCAGAGCAAAATGAGCCAGGCTGCAGTAAATTGAACTTGTGCAGATAGTCTGAGGAGACCTTCCAAGTTTTGTAATAACATCCTAATAAACACAAGAAACAAGATTCTAACGAGCTTGGGAGTTTTCTTTGAACCCAGAGAACTGAGATAAACGGGACTTCCTGTGAGAGAGTATCCCAAAAAAGCTCAGCCCAAAGGGGACTGAGAAATCTAGGAGTGAAAAAAAGTACAGAAGAAGTGCAGCAGAATCGAGAAAAGAAAAAACAAATTGAAAAGTTACACAGCAGTACCATTTTCCTAGTAAAAACTAAAATTGTCAGACACAAAGCATTTATCTTGAACGCTATCACAACCTAACATATTCAGCCTTGTTTGTATGCAATACATTCTGTGACTGTCTTTAGTTACCCTGCCTTGGAAACAGGACACTGATTAGGGCTCTCCCATAGGTGTGGTAGACACAAAACCACCTCACTTAGGGTTCATGTGGCACATTCTAGGATAGTGCTGACACATAGGGAACAACCTAACAGGAAAACAGAGTTGCAAAAGGTATTTACGCCCAGATGCAGCTGGAACAGTTTTCTCCTTGGCATTCCCCCTTGTTTGCCATCTCCATGGATTTTTGACTGGACTCTTCCTGCTTCATACTACATTTTCAGCTTTTAAATGAAAGAACTAATGCCTCTGTCCTCCATCCACAAAAATCTTGCAGAAACCCTGGCATTTGTTTCAGGCTGTCCCAAGTTTCCATGATTAGCTGCAGGTGCACATGGTAACAAGGCTTCACCTCTCTATTTAACTCATTACACAGGCAAAATGCTTTGCTTGTACAGAAGACTCACCAGCCTAATAGGAAATTCGTTTCCATGTATTTATTATCCTGTAGCAGGGAAAAAGACAGAAAACTGGCCAGAAACAACAATGATTGAGTGTGTCAGTATTTATATCCTTTGTCAAGCCACTGGCTTTCCTTATATTTCTACCAGATTACATTGTTTCAGAAAAAAAAAATCTTTAAAAAATCAATATCTTTGATGATCTGTAGAACCAGAACCAGGCCAGAGCATATATAATCACACATCTGTACTAATGAAGAATTCAACAGATCAGAGAAAGGCCTGGATAACCAGTCACTGATTTAATTTCATTCCTAATGAAAGAAATTTTTCCACAGATGAACTTTGTCATAATAAATTCGATCTCTACTACCAAACTCCCAAACTATGGGCTTTTGTGGACCTAGATTAGATTCCACAACCGTAACTCTGTAATTGCACTCTGATACATCTGCTGGGATTGCAGTGTTGCAACATCACTCATTATCTTTCCCAAGAAACTCCTGAAAATAGAAACAAAAATGGAGAACAGGCAGAGGCTATCATTGCTACATTTACAATACACTTTCAAGTGCTTTAAATTCTGTTGATGTTTTATGCAAAGCACAACCTACATTTCCAGTAGTTTGTAAAATGTGATGGTTGTTCTGAGGATATACTTAATCTGACGAAAATCTGTTTGACAGACATTGCTTTGAAGATGCAGCATTCCTTTGTCTAGGCATCAGTAAACAAGGAAGCAAAAAAAAATTATTTCCTGACAAAAACTGATTTAATTTATACATATATGTGCTTTACAGCTACTTAATGCACACATTTATTTAAAGTTAATTAATAGCCACAGCTGATACTGTGTAAGGAACACAGTTTTGTGTTTGACAAGACTGGTTAGTGTTTGTGTCAATACTTTCAGAGAAAATACTTATTTTAACATATGGAGAAAAAGAACACATCTGTTAAGATCTAAGCGTTCAGAGAACTTATCCTGATTGTATATGTGCGATGCTGCACCTGTTTAACATCAGATTCTCTACCAGATTCATTTATCCTGACTGTTCAAATAGAATAAAGATTTCTATTATTTCATAATACTTAGCTTAAATAAGATCTTTATCTGACATGGAAGGTAAATCACAAAGAAGATGAAATAACATGAAAAGATCATTAAGTAGATTAAATGAGGCATTAATAATACTAAAATCTTATGCCTTTGCCTTAGAGGGATTGGTTGAACTGAAGTATGATATACATACTGTAAAGACAGTGACAGAAGCTAGTCACTATGAGGCCACAGAACACACATAGGGCAGATGAGTATTTATCCAACTCCATTAAAACAGAGAATTTGACTAAATCAGTTTTCTTATTTAACTGGGAAATTTACAGTTAATTCTATCAATAAATGCAGTGAATGCGCACACATACGTGCAGAGGCTGTGCATGTATACACACAGAGATTACACAAATTCACAGCTGTTTCAAGTGGTCCCAAATGCAGAACAAAGCAGAGTACACTGCTGTGGGGGGGATGAACACCTGCAGCCACTCTGGAGCACCCAAATTGCCTAATGCATCCCTTACCTGATGGGATGGATTGGATCTAATGCTGGCTTCCAGCAGCAGTTTGAACAGCAGATCCCGTCTGGAGGAAGGACTGTGAGCAGTGCTCACAGTGCAATCCAAAACAAAGGGCTCTATTCAGAGTTGACAAAACCAGGAAACACCCCCACGCATAAGCATCATTCCTGTTCACATGAACATAAAAGCTCCTAAAATGGGAAATGGGTCTCACTGCAGCCAGAAAGTGCAGAAGGTGAGTGTCCCATGTACGCTGGTGATCAGAAAAAGCAAAAGAACATACCAAGACAAAGAAAGAATGAGAAAAAGCAATAGTAAAAATAGTACCTCACAGTATACCTCAATTAAAATATGTTAATCAGGCCAGGAACACCATAAGTGAAGAACTAGAGCAAAAAATATAGATGGAAAAAACGGCTGAGAGAGCACAAAGAACCCATATAAGCAGAGAGCTAAGAACAATTAGCACAGAGTATACAAAGGAATAGGTAATATTGCTCTCTTTCATTTACCTTCTTTACAGTGTAAGTAGAAAATAACACTTGCAGAAGACTACATTAAAAATTACTAATAGCAGATACATTTAAAATAGAATTAAATGTAGAAGCTCCTGAAAATAAGGCATCAATCTCAAAATTTCCATATTCAAAACAGGTTAGCCTACTTTAAAAAGGACAAAACTACATAGATGCAAGGCTTTTGTTAGACTGGATGATTTTTTTTGTCAAAATATGTTAGATGAAAGTTAAATCCTTAAAACTGTATTAAACTAATCTTCTAGTTGGAATGATTCGTATTTTTGATTAAAGAATGGGAATGATTCATATTTATCTTTCCATATTTGTGGGAATTAATGATATGTCTTATCACTGGTGATCACCTTTTTGCTCTTTTAAGTAAGCCTGGCAAACAGATATACGGAATCTATAAATACATGTTTTTCAAAGACTTTGGAACCACAAATTACTTCATCATTTTAAATTATCCATCAATAATGCTGGAATTTGTGACTTGGCGTTTCCTTATTTTAATCAAATCATCCAGTGGCATGTACTGCGACTCAGCTGACTTATAGCTGTGGAAAGCAAAGGAACAATTTCTGTGACAGGCATGGAGAAAGCAAAGGAGAAATTTCTGGAAACCAAAGAGATTTCCAACATAGAACCTGGAGCTGCACCCAGCCCCCTGACCCTTCAGGCAAAGGCAGCACACAGACAGCATATCCTTGCCCCTCCAGCACCACAAAACAGCAGGGACTTGAAAAGTGAGCAGAACCTTCCACTGAAGGTTGCTTGCTCATTATTTCCCTGCCCATTTCCAAATAAGCACCATTCACTTTCCTTACCATTAGCTTAGGCAAGAGAAATGAAAACTATATATGAAATACTATGATCTGCAGTTACCCATTTTTCCCCCAACTGCTCCCTAATAAGAGCAAGTTTTATGGGTTTTTACTTTTTCCTGGCATAATCTGTACTCTATGAACAGAAGGTTCCCCAAGTATTCTGAGCAGTATTTCCTCTTTCATTAACAAAACCTCATACTTTAATCTTGCCCCTCTATTTCTGCAATTGGAAGTATTGTGCCCAGTTTAATCTTCAAGGTTGTTCGGGAATTTGTATTTTCTGGTTATGAAACATGAACATTAACTAGTCTTAGTTTCCATCTAATGCTTCTCTAAAGATGTCCCAATATGTTATTACAGGGGTGCTTACTTGAATTTACGGAGTTGCCTTTGATTTTGGCATTGTCTGCAAAATTCCAAGATGATTAAAATCATACTTCTCAGCAACAGAATAAAACTAACAAGCACCTTGCTCATCAGCTTGCTTGAAATAATTTCCCATTGGTTATAATATGTTTAGGTTATTAATTTTCTGGACAGAAAAGTAATAATTAGTCTGACTGACTACCAGAGGGAAATGCTTTCGCTGATTGCATGGAGACAAAAAGTATCTGATATTCTATAAAAATTTATTGTGTTGAGCTTTCAGATCTTTAGAATCATCCACAGGATGGCACTGTTGAACCTCAGTCGCCAGTAGATGAAGTAGGAAACAACCTTACAAACATCCAGGTGATGCAGCAAATACTAAAATAAGTAAAATCATCACTTCCCCTTGATGACAGATCATGACAAAACACAGTACATACACAAATATACACAAAATTCTTACACATACCTACAGACACTACTTTGGGATACAATTTTCTTGTCTGCATGTCTTAGACTGTGCCCCAATACAACCCAAGAGAATGCAATGCCCTATCAGAAAATTTTAATTACTATTTGTTTTGCTATTCACATACAAGCAAATTGGGTGTCCTGATCTTTTAATGAGGTGGTAAATGACTGGTCATTACATTTAATAGCAACTGATTGACATTCATTACTATTACAATCACTTTTAAGGCACTGAAGCATATGGCCTGATTAATCTCACCACCCTCTCATTCATCCTTGGTTTTAGTTCATGTATAACCCATGAAAGGAAATTATTTAAGAAAGAGATCCACCATCTCTTATCTATATTGTTGTACATGATATTGCTATTAGAGAATAAATTTCTCTTTCATGCTGCCTTCTGATCACAAAATTAAGTATTTCACCTTTCCTATAGACTCAGAAGATTTAAAAATAGTCTGCAAATCTCCAACTGCTGGTTGATTTATAAAGGTTAAATAACCCTGTTAATAATACTGTTATTGCACTATCTCCATTAACTCTTAGTGAACACCAATGACCAACTTTTCCCATACAGCGACTGCATCATTAGCCCACTTTATAATCTGTAACTACTTAACTGTGGAAAAAAGAGAGGTATGAAAACTGACATAAAGTAGTGCTTAAATGGTGATGCAACTCAAAAGAAACTCTAAAATAAGGAATGAAGTAGGGTAGACTTAAGCATTTGCAAAATTACCAAAGATAAAGACATTATCAAAATGGAGAGAAGACCAAATCTTCCATGTGTTTATGTCAGGTGCTGAAGTGCATCCCCATGCATGTTCCCATGATAGCACTGGACTTCCATGCTGAGAATTTCATGACCATGGGCCTGCACTGCAATGTCTTGGCTACAGAGACATAGAAGCCAGTTGTGACACTTTGTACTCCTCTCTTGGCAGAGAGATAGATGACAGATGAAAGATGGAGTCCAGCTGGAAACATATCTTGATGCTGTTGAATACAGGATGTCAGTGCAGTGAGAAAAACACAAGAAGGTAGAAGCTGAGAAGGTGAAAATCTTATCATTTCTGCCCAGGTGAAGCTGTGTTTGTCTCAGAGTCACACAGCAGTGGCCCAAAATTTCTCAACCTTTCCTGTTAAGAGTTCATAACCTGAATCTTGCTTTCCAGTGTTTTACAGTTGTCTTGGTTTTGAAGACAGATGTCTGCTAGGGAGGGCAGGAGCCTCCCTGGAATGAAAATCTAGACTCCCTCCCACAAATTACTATAATTTTGAAATCAAGGGGCTCTCAGGCAGAGATCTGGGGATAGGAATAACAGTTCTTTACTAGTATGTACAACAAGGCAAACAAACAACAATAATTATAGCATTAATAACAAAACAGAACTAGGGACCCCATGACAACTTTCTTGGCTGAGACGGGAAGGGATGGAGGAGAGGCTTTGTTTCACAAACGCAGGACAGGGGGTGAGAGGCCACCAACGAAGAGGGAAGAAGAAGCAGCAGCAGCTCCGTCGGGGTGATGGCAAATTCCCTTCTCCAAACCACAACAGCTCCGAGTGTCTTGCTCTCAAGCCTAAAAAACCAGCCAACCCCCAGCTGCCCCTGCCCTCCCTCTCCCTCTGGGCCCAGCAAAACTCCCTGTGTTTCTCAAGCACACAAGTACCAGCCATCAGGTTTCCCCACAATTAATGGGCAAAGAATTCTATAGGTGAGAAGGAACAAAAGGAAGAACATCCAACCCCCAATAACAGTATTAATAATTCAGTAGATCTTTCTTTGCATCTTTCGCTCTCCTACTGCTTTGAGCAATTGCAGTATCATTTGTTATTATCCCCAAAACCACTGGAGACATGAAGTCAAATATGCACATGCATAAATACCACATCACCTTCCTCAGCCATGCAACTGTTGTGAGGAGGCTTCTCCACACAATTTTACACTGTGCATTCTGAGTGGTTTCCATCCTACAGTCATACCCTACTGTTACATGAAGCTCTCCCCAAGCATGTCTCTGCCCATAGCACGAGGGACCATAAGGAAGTTCTTAACCATAGAACAGGCCACTCCTGGGGAAGCTCTGAACACAATGAAGGATGTTGTTGGAAGGTCATGAAGATACTCTGGTAGTATCAGATCCCAGCTGACTGTATAAGAAGATTGTGTAAGCTGACTGTTCTTAGCCAAAAACTTGCTTTATTGACACAATTTTTCCTATTCTCCAGTGGCAAATGGAGCCATAAATCATGTCATCCAGATATAGAAAACATTATTTAAGTATGCAGTTTTATATTCAGACCTCAAATAGGAGCAACAGAAGACAGAATTAAGAAATGTTTTTAACTTAACAGCTTACTTTTAATAGCAAGAAACCCGCAAGTCCCTGATACACTTAGCCCAGATAGGTTTTTACTGTGACACAAGACAAAGTTCTCTTAAAGGCATTCAGACATGGGTGCATCTTTGTTTAAATGAAATTATTTCTCCACAGAGAAGCTGACCTCCATTGACCTTAGCGGAAGCAATCACTCAATTCCTCTACTACCATTACTACGCCTGTGCTGAAGTGATGGTTGGAAAGGCAGCAGCATTTTCCATCTGAAAACATCCAGTCACCTGAACACTATCAGAACAGGCTGTTTCTTCCTTCCATATTAATTTTAAGGGTTTAATCTGGAAGATCAATATCAGATGTTACTACAGTCATCTGCAAAACTTCCACCAGCAGTGAGACTGGGACTTGATGCCATGAAAATACACAAGAAACTAACACTGAGGAAATCAATAGCAATGGGATTCAAAGCATTGTAATCTGAAGGATGTCAAGAGGAGTTCTCAGACACTACCATTTCACTCTGTGTGAAATAAATGTCTAGCTTTGTAGAGTGATAATAGAAGCCATGACAATTCAAATGGGTAACAGATCAATGTACTGTTAAATCTGAATATAGTACTAAAGTAGTACCCATTCATTTCAACGGAATGTAGAAATCTTAAAGCAACTACAAACTCCTGAATGTCAATACCACTAGTGATTTTTCTGTTAATCAAACAAGAATGACTGCTACTTTCCTAATTCAATCTCTTAATTCTGCCACTTCCTGGTGTTCTACTTGTTTGAATGACTTTTCATTGCTTTAATAAAGCAAAAGCAGCTCATTTCCTTAAAGAAGCATATAGCACCTGCAGGACAGCAGCTGACCACCTGGCAGCATTACCTTTTACCATGCAGAGCAGGGCTAGACTACATTTTTTTTGGTTTTTAATGCACATGTAGCTTTGCCTTGTCACTTCTTCACTTTACTTCTATAGAACAAATAGATCAGTTTCTTTGAGGAATGAAAATAAAACATACATGCACAGTCTCAGCTGAGTTTACATTTATTAAACAGCAGCAGTACTAGTGGTACTTTATGCTGTGAATTTGTACTAGTATTTTATACTGGTCATTTCTATGCACAGCACAAAAGAAAAGAACAAATATGCACTAAAAATTACTCCTTTTATTTTATGCACTACTTGGTGGGACAGTTCTGGTTAGAGAACTGTCTAAAGCTACATTTCTGTACTTCTACTTAAGGGTGTCCTCAGCAAGAACACAATTTATCCAAAATAACTGCCTGGTGGCAGTACTTCTGGCCACAGTCTGCATGTGATAACAAGTGACAACATAATAATGTGAGCTGACTTAAGAAATCATTACCCTACTCACCTTTGAAAAGTGTACCTATCTACTAAGTATCATCTTAGGTAGGATTAGCAAAAAAAACAATACCATTCCTCTGTATGCTTCAAAAACCTGTTTCTGTCATCCTGTATATATTTGGACATAGAAACATTTTAATTAATGTTTTTTTTATTTACTAATGAAGTGGGACATCCTATGCCTATTAACATGCAAATGCAGCAATCTCTCAGGTAATTTTTACTTTTATGTAGTTCAATGGAGTCCCACCACATGAGGGTGAAAACTAATGAAAACATTCACCACCATAATCAGATTTTTAAACAATTAAAAAGTGAAAATAGCAATTGTCACAATAACTACACCATCTATCATACACACAACTAATTTGTAAACACTACTTTTCATAACTTCCCATAATGATTTGTGACTCAAAGCTTATTATTTTCAATTTTTTCCATTTGGAAGAAATATTTTGTAAAAAGGAGCTATTTCTACTACAAAAATGTATTTTCTATTATTTATCTCTTGGTACCACTATATTTTCTTATTTCCCCTCCCACCATTAAGACTCCTCAATATGCTGGGACACAGAGCTAAACATGTGTGAAATGCTGATTATTTTAAGAGTCCAGCATAAAACACACCCCTGTTGAGTTTTCATTAAAAAACAAGTGGTTAGAGGGAGCTCAAGATCTGCAGGAGCAAGAACTAGAGGAAATTTTCCAATGGTACTTTTCTGGCAAAGGGTACAGAGGAGGTAACGATCTTGTTTTTCTCTAACAGCTTTTTTGCCCCTAAGGACTTGATCCCAAACCAGTAGTTTTTGTGGTTGTTTTTAATAGCAACACATTAACTGCGCAACAGTAGCAGGTTAATCACCAAACTGTTTATTTTCTATGATGTGATGACTGGATAACATATTTCCAAACTCAGTGCTTTCCTGAGAAGGCATCTCTGTAACTTGCAGTATAATCAGTTGACATATAAATACATTAGGAATTTGGTACCTGTAGCAACCGAATTTTGCTGCAGGTTGGAGTGTAAGATTATGCACTGCCTGATTCAGCTGAACTCTTCTGAATTCACATGATCTTAGACATCTTGAAAACCTTTGCAATGAGAAGTCTTAAAAATACTTCAGAGGAACAACAGCACCAATTTGGATCTTACAATTCTTCCTTTTTTTAAATCAAAGACTCAGGGAAAAGACAGAAGATATACTGCCCTGGTATTGCTAAGTCTAAGAACACAGGAAAGGATTCAGATGGTTATCCCGCTTTCATCAGAAAAACTTATCATGAAAGAGTGTAAGACAGAGAGTAGAAATCATACTGACAGAAATGCATATATCTGAGAAAGGTCTTGGATTTCATTAAGATTCTACATTCTAGTTTGATACGTTACAATAGGGATAATCTTAAAAAATTGAGCCCCCCCCAAAAATCCAAGTGTTCATTTAACTGAAAAGTAGAGGTATTGTTTGAATATTTTATTCAGAAGAGAGCTGCAAAACACAGAATATCAAAGGTCAGCAGAATGCAGCAAGGCTAGAAGTAGCAATAACGTATTTTGGGTATCTATCTGTTGTCACTTCTTACAACATGCCAGTCATGGGTGGGGATACGAAAACTCCACAACCTGTGCTCCAGGTGCTCATGAGACAAACAGCCTCATTTATTATTCAGAACTCACTTAAATACCCAATTCAAATCTCCCAGGCTTTACAGCTATTGGCTGAGATCTCTCTCCCTGCCCAGCTTCCTGGCCAGTGGTGTGCTTACTTCTCATCCTGAATGGGGCTGTCTGAATTGGATTCCTGTTATGGTCAGATTTACTTTGTCCAGTCTAGCTGTACTGTGACAATTCACCCTTTTTGGTTAAATTAAAAAATATAAAATGTTCTCTGTTATCCTATCTGTAAGGGCCCTTTGCAGACAGGGTGATAGGAGACAGCATGGGTCTAATTCAAATAAAGTTTTCCACAGCTAGCAATGTGCTTTGCATACTAAACTGAGTTTGCAACACTCACTTCTGGGAGCTGGCAGGCAAGATTACAATCCTTCAAGCTACCATGCCACAGGTAAACTAACAACTTGTAGTTACAATTTAACACTAAGAAAACATTATTTTGAACTAAAAAAAAAATATTTAGAACTGAGATTATACCTTAACTCTATAAACAAGAAACAAAAAGTATTCAACCTTTAGAACTCTGAGAAAAAAAAAACTTAATAGAAAAACAATTTGTAAACAAACAAAAAAAAAACTTAATAGAAAAACAATTTGTAAACAAACAGAGTTTTTAAATGAACTGTCTTTTCAGAAGTCTCAGATTTTCATGAGGTAGGTGAATAGGTTGTTCTGGTTACTCTTCTTCATCACATCCTTTGTGGTATTGTCAGAAGGATTTTTCTTCTGGTCTCGGGCAGGATGTAGAGCAGTATGGACACATCTAGCAGGTACCCAATGTGTTCCAGTGTCCATGGAAACACAGGCATATCCCCTTCCCCAGGTAATGAGGTTCCACAGGCCTCCCCACTTATTGGTGAGAAGGTCTTTCACCATTACCTTGGGCTTAGGCAACAGTTTATCTCCAGATGATTGTAGTAATAGAAAGTGATTTAAAATGACTGGGTTCTGGGAATTTTCTGATAGTGTTAAATGATTTAAGGTATAAATAGCCTTAACTACCTTAGCTCTGTGGGGTCTCACCAGACATTCCTCCCTTTTGTTTTTCAGGAATACATTTTAAAGTGCTATGTGCTCTTTCCACGATGGCTTGTCCTGTTGCTAGTTGGGGAATACCAGCGTGGTGTGCTACCCCAGACCTGTAGGAAATGCCTTGTTTTCTGTGAGATGTATGCAGGGCCACTGTCTGTTTTGATGGTGTGAAGGTTGCCCAAAACAGCAAAGGCTGACTGCCCATGTGCAATGGCATCTCAACCCTTTTCTCTTATGGCCACTGTAGCCCATACAGCTGATGGAAAGGTATCAATGGATAAGTGTACATATTTTAAACGTCTGAATTCAGGGATGCGTGTGACATTGATTTGTGTTTGCCAGATTCATAAAGCATGCAGTCCACAAGGATTTACTCCCATCTGCAGTGGTGCAGCGTGGCTTTGGCAGTCAGCACATGTGCTAACAATATTACAAGCCTCCATGTCTGTCAGCTGGAATTGCCGTTCTAAGGCCCAAACTCCTTGGTGGAAGAAATTGTTATTGCCTTTGCTTGTGCCAGTGTGTCTGGCTGTGGTGCTGTCCACAGCTCGCTAGCATGTCTGCTCTCATGGTGTCCTCTGTGATGAAACCTAGTAGATTTGTGTGACTCCTGATGTGTAAGATATAATAGGGGTATGTTCTGGCTTGGATGTTTTGGCAGAGTTTTTAGCAGATTGAATAATTGTGCATTGTCAACTTCCTTTAACAGTGCTTGGTCTAATCTCTGCGTGATGTCAGCTATGTATGCAGAATCACTTACTATATTTAGAGGAATGTGGGGAAAATGTTGGAAAGCCATAGCTACAGCCTGTAGTTCTGCCAACTGGGGAGATCCGTTCTGATAACTTTCCAATGTTTTCCACTCACTTTCCTCTTTGCATGTTACTAGGGCTTTTCCTGTTTCCCCAGAGCCACCTGTAAACTCTGATATTCAGAGGTTTAAGAGACAACATGGTTTCTCAACTTGAACAATCTATGGCTTGGTAAATGGTAAGTGATTTGTCATGTGAAGTTTTACAGGGAACTTTGCTAGGCTGTTAGCAAAACTAACATTACTCTTAAAACTAATGTTACTTTACATAACTTTACTGTTAGCAAAACACCATTCCAAGTGTTTTTGTGTCACAGGTATAATAATTTGTGAAGGATCCTTTGCATTCAATTGTAAACACCTGTGATGACATTTGATAATTAATTGTGCAATTAGCTCAAATACTGTTGGTGCAGTCATTTTTGGTTGATGAGGTAAAAACATCCACTCTATGATGTGCAGAGGATCAGGCCAGTGAGTGTTCCACTGCCCTATAATACCAGTAGGGTGAAGATTTACAATGAGAACAAACATATTTTGTATCACTCTGGGCATATCTGGTGGACTTGTCTGTGATAGCTTGCTCTACTGTTTCAAGAGCAGCTTTTGCCTCTGGGGTTCATTTTTTGGGTTTCAAGTCCACTACCAAAAGGTCCCAGGAGGTAGGTGTCATGGCAGAAGATGGCATAGCAGTTTGCAAAGTATCTATGCTCACCATCACAGAACTGACCTTTCTTAGGTTGGAGAAACTTTAATTTACCAGATTTCTCTTTTTATGACAAATACTGGGGCGTCCAAGGGCTCATAGATGGCTCTATGTGTCCCTGAGCTAGCTGTTTTGTACTAATGATTTTAGTGCATCTAGCTTTTCCTTTTCAAGGGACTACTGTGGTACCCAATGATTAATACTTCTTTTAGGATACAATTTAACAATAATAATAAACACTGTAATTCAGATTAGAAGTTCTCATGCATATATATATATAAAAGTTTCAAGCTTGAGTGCCTGTGGGTTGGAGTAGACATGCATGCATTTTTCATCAGGGCTTGTAGTCTGTAGTTAACATGTGTTGGGATGGTGTTTGATAGGAGTGGTGGGGGAGCTGGAGCTGATGGTATGTGAAGACTTTGGTTCTCTCTGTGAGGATCTTTGCTGTGTGGTTCCTTGGGGCTGGGATTGCCTTGGCTGTAGCTGTGGTGAAGCTGGAACTGTGCTGAGTGCGGGCCCCGGCACTGGGGCGCAGCTTTCTGTTTCCGGTGCACTTCCGGGTATGGATCGGACACCACGTGACATCAGCTCGGGCCCCGCCCCCCAGCAGCGGCAGGCAGGCGTGGCCAGCCGAGGCGGGACCGCGGGCGCGGCTTCTGGGCTGAGCCAATCAGCTCCGGGCAGGGGCGGTTCCAGGCGTTTCCATGGTGCCGAGGGGCGTGGGCGGTGCCGGTGGCTAGGGGGTGGTCCCGGGGGTGGTCCGGGGCTGCGACGAGGCCGCGCGTTCTGGGGCCGGAGTGGCGGCGTTCTGCCCCCCGGGCTGGCAGCTCCGCGTGGCACAGCGGCAGCTCCGCGGGGAACGGCACCGCAGCACCTCTTTGGCGCAGCCACACCCCTGCCGCCTGCCGTGTTCCTTTGGGCTGCGGCGGTGTTGGCATAGCCTGGGGCCCCGCCATTCCCTCCTGCTGCGCCGCTCCAGCCAAGTGGCAGGATTTCGCAATCCGGCTCGGTATCGCACGCTGGGGTTTGTCCACCCGCCAGGGCACTGCCAGCTGCCTGTGCTCTCCAGCATGGCGGGGTTGCAAGAAACAGCTCGTTATAAAGCAGTCCTGGGGCGAGGGGAGCATACAGAGCAGCCTGGCTGTGTGGGGCAGCTGTTTGGTGTTGCTCTTCCCCCGTGGGCTTGGAAAGCTATCCCAAGCTCCCTCTGTCCCCTCCGGAGCTCTGTTCTTGCTCTCCAGTCCAGCATTCATCTGTGTGATAGATTGGCATTTAAGAAAACAAAAACACCTAAGGAAGTTAAAACTGCTGGCGGCTGATGGGGGTTTTTCTCCTAGCCAACAGCTGGCCATTTCTAAGAATTGACAGCAGTTTTAATCATTGAAAAGTGAGATCAACCTGTGAACACCACCTTAAGACTTAAGCCTGGGAATTTCTTGGTCTCTTGGTTTCCTGGCTGTGAAAGGTAACTGAGCTTTAGCTGGCCTCCTGCTCCCCTGCTCAGGCCATGTGGCCCTGGCAGGAGCTGGGCTGGGCCCAGCGGCTCCCGGCCGGGAGATGGGGCCTGTGGGGCTTGCCCCGGGCTCTGGCCGGGCCAGGCTGCTCCCTGGCTCGGCTGCAGTTTTTGCTGTGACTGAATTCACCAGAGACTGTCGAGTAAGGAAAGAAAAATGCTCTTGACCTGCGGCAGGCTGAGACAGTGACCACACTCTCCAGAGCAGCCATGAAGAATCTTCCATCGCAGACAGCTCCAGCTGCTGCTCCGGCAGAGATCACAGAACCATCTACAAAGCCTGGGCAAGATTTCAACACTTTCATTACCCAGATGAGACTTGCAGATTAATCCTTTTTTTCAGAGAAAGAAAAAGAGAGTAATCAACATGTAAAGAGACTTTATTAGAGACAGTGAAGAGAAGAATTAAGCTTCAGAAGAAGTAGAGAATAAGGAGATGCTTTAATTAAGCTGAAATATTTTTCTGTTAAAGCTGCAGAAATGGACAATAGTGTTCTGGAAAAAACTCCTTTAATTCATGACAGAGTATATTGGGAAGAATATTCCCAAGTTCAAAGTTTAGATTTTGAGAAAAAGGTGGAGTAATTGTGATACAGTGAGGTGCTGGAACAGAGGGGGGAGAATAGCTGAAGATTTGAGGCCTTGAGAGGCAATGAGAAAAACTTCTGTTTCCAGGAAAGCTCACAGAAACAAATGAAGAGAACTTTTGCCTTTTAATGACTCATCCTTAAAAATGACATCCCTTAGACTCATGGGCCATAACACACCTCAGAGTGATGTGAAATAGGAGGAGTGGACTGATGACAGATTTTTTTTCCGGGCAGCTGGCATCAGAAAAATAGAAAGCTATAACAAAAATAGTTTTCTTGTGGAAAACTCCATAAATTAGCAGAAGACTTCTGTTTCTTTACAAAGACTGATGAAAAGACTCTAACAAGAATTGGGACTGTTTTAAACACTGAAATTCCAAAGTTTTTTGTCTCTATGTTGTCATGTGAGCAAGAGAATAGTTGAGTAGTGGGGGAAAAAGAAGTTTTCTGGAAGTTATTCTGGTTTTCTTATTCTTGTAATTCTGTTAATTAACTTTCTTTATTCCTTTTAAGTTTTAAGCCTGTTTTGCTCTTGTTCTAATCCATATCTCACAGCAAGAAATAAGTAAGTTTTCTAGTAATTTTTTAGTTACTGCTTTAAAACCACAACAGTCTGTCTCATTGAAAATAAATCTCCAAGGCTTTAGAACTTCTATAGCATTTTCATCTCCCCTTGAGGCTGCCTTAAGTATAAAATGTCCAATTTGTTCCCATGTATTTATATCAAGGGCAGCCTGTTTGGTTGTGTCAAATCCATGGTTCTTTGCCAATGTTATTAAAGCTAATAATTAATTTTTACCATACTCTTAAGTCCCATTCTGTGGGAACTGACAGTGGTCAAATAAGAGATTTTTAGGCTTCAGGCACTAGCTTGAGCCTGTGGGAAAAGTCAAGTACACAACTTTCTCAGTCTGGTCTGGGAAATCATAAGGAGGAATCCAAACACTCCTTAGGGAAGGAAAACAACCTTTGCAGGTGTTGTTTGTTCCTTGTTGTAAGAAACGGTCAAGGGGTGTAGTTCCTAACTATCCAATGATGGTGATGTGTTGGTTTAATAACCAACAAAAGCTTTACCTTTTTGGACCTTCTCGGAACTGTCTATAAAAGAAGATACAGAAGAATAAAAAGTGCTGTCTTTTGCAGCTAAGGCTATAGAGTCTGTATTGTCACTTTGCTGTTTCAAATACAGTGCGACACCATTCTTGTAAAAAAAGCAACTATACCTTCAAAACTGGAGGTGGTTAAGTTGATATCCCAGCTCCCATGGCTCTGATGAGTATTTTCGTCTATTTTTAAGGGTAAGTCCAAAAACAATGATGGATTTTTAGCTATTTTTTCACCGCAAACATCTCTCCTTGTATTTTTTTTAGATGGCTTTTTCCACATTCCTCTTACTCCAGCTTTTCGCTGTAGATCAGCGTCTCCACACCTGTTTTTTCCAGCTTTTCGCTGTTTTGGACAGGCTCTCCACACTCTGTCTTCCCCCCTGCTCTGCTCACAGGAAAGGCTGTGCCTTCACATATGGGGTCACCACTTGTAGTGTGCTGGTCATGGGTGGGAAGATGAAAATCCACAACTTGTGCTCCTGGTGCTCATGAGACAAACAACCTCGTTTATTATTCAGAATTCACTTAAATAGCTATGGGAAATGGAAAAATGGAAAATTCTACAGATGCTGAAACGTTCAATCTTCAGCCTTGGAAAGAGCTTGGGTTGATGTAATGATGGAAGTACACAGACATAGCGTAGAAAAATGATAAACTTATGTTCCTATAATTATAAGTAAGAATATGTCTTGAGTAAGAAATTATATTAGGTAAAATAGTTTGAGGTTTGAGCTGTAATAATGTGATTTGTAGAGTAAGCTAGGGATCTAGAGACGATATCAAAGGTGTGTGTATGAGTGCATGACCTATCAGCTTAGTGGATAAGAGACAGACACAGTGCAGCAAAATTAAGCAAAGATGATAAGTTAATAAGTAGAAACCAGTTTTGTGTTAACCGTCTATTGGACCAAAATGTTATGTATTGTTGTGTGAAGAAGAAACCAATGACTACCTTGACCTATGTCTGACTTGTTGCTCCTCTAAATCTCATGCCTTCATGATATCTTATCTGGCTACTTGAGCAATAAATCATCTCAAGGCATGGTGGTCCCATTCCTCATTATTCATCTCAACAAATACCCAATTCAAATTTCCCAGGCTGTACAGCTATTAGCTGAAATATCTCTCCCTGCCTGGCTTCCTGGCCAGTGGTGTGCTTACTTGTGATCTTGAATGGCTGAGGGTCCCCTGTAACTTATTCAGGGACATGTTCAGGCATGAACTAGGCTAGCTAAATTAGATTTGTGTTATGGTCAGATTTACTTTGTCCAGTCCAGGCCAGCTGTACTTAACAATACTCTGACAGGTTTGTAGTTCAGGTAATATGTAAAGTGTAAATTTAATTCCCAGCTCTGCCAAATCTAATTTAAATTGCCAAATTTAATTGCCAGCTCTCATGCCAAATTTATCAGGGGTGCTATAAGAACAGAGAGAGATGATGAAATTGAACCCTCTACAACTACTTTCTCATCTGGATGTTAAATAAAAGAGCCTTGGTTTTTCTGAAGGTAATATCTTGGTTGGCAAACCTGTCCAGCTTGGGTTTTTCTTTATGTGAATGAACAGATGTCTTATGGAGTAGGGCTAAGTGCTGACAAATTTTCACTGAGACAGGGAAAGACTGTGAAACTGAAGAGTATTTTGCCAAAATTAATTTTCCTTGGAGAATTCAGCATCAGTTGCTGTAGGACAGGTTATTATATTATTATATATCTATTACATATTATATATACAATTTATTATGTATATTATTATATATATTATTATATATAAGTTTTTATAGAGAAGAAAAAAAAAAAAGGGTGCATTAGAAAAGATCATTGCTAGCAGGTCAAGGGAAGTTATCCTGCACCTTTTAGTTCTGGTGAGGCAACATCTGGAGTGCCAGTTGTGCCAGTGCCTGTGTCCAGTTCTGGACTCCTCTGTACAATAGCAGGTCCAGCAGAGGGCAACAAAGATGATGAGGGGACTGGAACATCTGTCTTACAAGGAGAGGCTGAGGAAGCCTCAAGAGAGATGACTGAGAGGAGACCTCATCAATGTCTATAGATACCTGAAAGGCAGGGGTCAAGAGGGCAAAGCCAGGATCTTATTGGTGGTGCCAAGCAATAGGATAAGAGACAATGGGCAGAAACTGATGCACAGGAAGCTCCAGCTGAACATGAGGAAGAACTTCTTCACTGTGCAGGTGACAGAGCACCGGAGCAGAGAGGTTGTGGCA